CTTATATTATAGTTATAATTTATTCGATTATTAGTACCTTCGCGACTATTTCCTCTAGCTATTTTAATTTCTCTTCTACTTATACTACTCGTTTTCCTATCTACTCTACTTATTTTTCTATTTTCTTAATTCGCTTTTCTATCTACTTAGCTTATTCTTCTATTTATTTTACTTGCTTTTCCGCTTATTTTACTTACTCTTCTACTTACTTTATCTATACTAGTATTTGCCTCTATAGTATATTATTACTAGCTACTACTATTGTTTATTATATACTATTTCTACTCTTTTCTACTATATTTAACTTCTTTTTTCCTACTACTCTAGATTTTATTATATTTAGAGTATATATATCTCGATATAGGCTCTAATAGTTAATAGTACTATACGATACTATACGTTTTAGGCATATAGTAATATACTCTCTATTTCCTAGAAGTTCTACTATTCTTTTCTTACTTATTTTTAGTTCTTCTAGATATTAATACTTTATATCTCTAGTCCTATTACTTATACTAATAGAGTAGCTATATAAAAGGTTAGCCGGAGCACTAGCTAGTTCCGGTCTAGACTTATAATTATAAGAGCAGTAGTAGGGTTTAGCTATAATTTTAAGCCGTACGATCTTCGGCTAGGTATAGGCAAGGCGTTCGATATAAGCAGTAAGCCCGTATTATAAAATATTGCGCGGGAAAACATTAACCTCCAACAAATCATATTAGCGTCTCCTAGCGTAATCGAATACTCTAGCATCACGAATCCTCGGTCTATTAAAAGAATTACTTAGGCGGCTACCCTAAAGGTTCAAACATCACAAAGTTTTATTGCTTCCTTCCACCGGTGCGTCAAGGAAGTGTGAGGCTGGCCCTCATGTTGCCCTCTTTTGATTCCAGATCAAGGATCAAACAGGGGTGCAGAGCAGGGTACCCCCCTCAATGTACCGTCCAACGTTGGTGATCACTAATCCATGATCGCAGCGTGGAGTTTTAGTGGTGTGTATCGGTTATCAGGCTAGGAGGATCGGGAGCTCTGTAATACTCAGCTTGCTGAAAACGAGAAGCGCGTTGTCCATTTGATTACACCCATGTCTAGAGTAGAAAGACACGCAGTAGATTCAGCGAGGGGACTGTTCATTGTACCTTTTGCGTACGAAAAGGAAACACTTGTCGTGAAAAGCGCTTCTCCGTGCCCGCGGAAGTGGATGGAAGCATGCAAAAGCAACGTCCAAACCCTCAGTCCATTTCCTTCCGCCCTTTCACCTCCTCTGAATCCGAGTTTCATCATCGCAGATCCACCGTAATGCCGGGGCTTATATTTGGACTGATATTCGGAGTAGCGCCCACGTTCGCGTTTGCAGCAGCCAGACCATTGTTGTTATTGTTGCCTCCGCCACATGCGTTACCATTCGAGTCAAAGCCATCCACACAATCACTACCATTACCACCATTTCTATTGTTGTTGCTGTTATTATTGCCGCAAGAGTTTCCGAATGAATCTAAGCCGTTGACACAGTAGCCCCCACCGCCGCCGTCGCCGCTATCATTATTGTTCGTGCATGCATTGCCGTTTTGATCAATGCCATTAACGCAATCTTCGCTGTCGTCGTCGTCGTTATCGCCGCTGAACTGGCCATTGAGGCTTGGATTGCCCACTGCCGCAAAAGGTTGATTAAAGGGCGATTTGGGTCCATACTTCCAAGTGAAAAAGGAAGATGTCTCTTGAAGGGAATGTACGCCTCCGTCAATCTTCGTTGTCTTCTGAGACCCACCACCATTGCATTCCACTGTCCAGCTAACGCTGTTAGGGTCGGCACACGGATTGTATGATGACTTCGGCGTTACGTATGGAGGGTTCGGACCCAAGTCTTCTCGAAGTGGTGGAGATATGGGCTGAGGATAATAATACGTGCTGTAAGCATCGTTCGGATAGTAGGGATCGTAGTAATAAGAGGTGAAGTATGAGAATGGCCATCCGGTCGAATAGTAGTTCGAAGGATAGTAACCTGTCCATGCTTGCTGTCGCTTTGCAAGTCGCTTGCCGAATCTCGTACTCTGGCCCCGCGCCGCAGCTACAACGTCCGGACGAGTGGAGAAATCATAATGTGGCAGGCCGTTAACCAGCAGTAGACTGGAAATCCAGAGCCAGAGCATACTGCACGACCTACAAGCGAGAGATATGAATCGAAGGTATCCGTCGTTCCTTCGCGCTCATACTCGGGCATAGATTCGTAGGCTGACTTCCTGAGTAGAAAAGCAACATCAAAGTCCCGTGCACGGTGTGCCGCTCATTTACTTCCTGCCCAGGATGCGCAGGCAAGGCGGGGTCTGATGCTGTGTGCGAAATGCTCGATTGCACCTCTGATCCGTAAGAGCCGTGCTCATAATCAGCAAGATCCTGGAGCATGGTAATTATAAGCACGGCTCTTACGGATCAGAGGTGCAGGTCTTGCATTAACCGCAAAAGTTCATGCAGACGTAGAGTTTGAGCCAGTCCTGAACGGCGCCCCTTGTCGAACTCCATATGCTGAGAACAGCAAGGCAGGAAAGACCTACTACGAGACTCGGCTTCCACCGCGTTCGGTGCCACCCTATCAACAAGGTCGTCGGTGTTATATTTCCGAAGCATAACGCGTTAGAAAGTTCCAAGCCAGAGCAAACAGACGGACAGCACAACTGCGCATTGTGCGACTGAGAACTCTGAAATAGAGTATTGGTCCACGGACCGGACAGAGTGAATGGACAAAGGAGCAGAACAATCGGATAGCTGCTCAGGATCAAGGGAATCTACATAAGGTCCAACGGCTCCAAGGGCAGGTTCAGGACCGCGATAGGAAATTGGTAGAGATGGAGGCCAAGTTCCGTGAGCTCCCGCCTCTGAAAGGATTTCGAAGAGACGGCGCGGAAGCTCGAGCGCTGTCCCAGATCGTGGAACAGCGGAACGCGGAGACCAGAGGGCTGCGGCACGGGCAGTCGCAAAGCACGGCGGATGTCGAAGAACCGCACCGACTCCGTAAGCCATGTTACTCGTGAACAGGGAAGGGGTCACCCAGCTCTTGAGGCCGACATTCAGTCCGCGAACAAAAGCTATTAACAGCCGCAACATGAAATTAAGAATGAAGGCTGAACCACGCAAAAGAAAAGGATCGCTGAGCTCAAGTCACCAATGCCTGTATCATTTGCAGACGTGCAAAAGTCAAGGTTCGCAAACTCATTATCCTCATTGAGAATAATCGGTTGACCGATGCGGCGACACCATTTTAGTGCTCAGGTGAGCATCCGATGTGCAATCGCTGTAACGAAGGGAAATTGGCGTGCGATTACTGACGTTAGAGTGGGCATCACGGAGCGCCAGCAACTATAGTATGATCTGGTGTACGGGGAAATTCACCTGCAGTGCGCAATGAAAACCCTCTCATATTTCCAACAGAGCAGTGACCAGCAGGCGGCAGAATCCCTGGCACGTCTGCGCCTCGGCTCCTCAATTCGAGACGAGTATCGCCGCATCTCATCGGCGTTATCCTGGATCGAGCTCTTCCGCACAGCATAGACTTCCCGATTGGAGAACAGCACAACGCAGGTGTTTGTTTGCTCTTTGAGGAGGTTGAGTCCGCCGGGATGGACGAGCAGCATGGCTAAATAGACTCGGGTCGTGCTTAAACCATAAATGGTACGAAGCTTGGAGGGCTAAGCCCGTGCTGAAGCTAGAGCTGCTGATCTGCGGCACTAGGACTGAAAGGGAATCACATCTGTGCAAGAAACATGAATAAATAATTCAACTAAAATCACCGTTCGTCTTATCGTCAGCAGGGGCGATCTATTGCGGTAACTTCTAAGGACACGTGGTCGATTCTGAGGCATTGGTAATTGTTTGACCTCTGTGGCAAAACCGAATATCTGGCTCGTTCTGGATCATTATTTACTATCCGACCTCGAAGTTAGCAGCGTTTCCTAGTGTCACAAGGTGTACGGCATATTCTGGGGTTCCTGTAGTTGATATTCTGGGGACAATATCACACCCTCCTAAGTGTGCTTAGTTGCCGATCCTCTGAATCCTGTGTATTACGTGTTCAACCATCATCTTATGAATGTGTTTGCAGAGTCGTGGCACACAAAGCATCGTCATGCCTATCCATGCTAATTATCTTGGTATCCTACGGAAACAATCATTGCAGCTTCCTAGGCATCTTGGCCATGCATGGAGTCCTCACCACTCCATCTCTTATGTTTTGACCATTGTTGCGTCACTTGTATTGATTTTCGCGTACTGTTGATAGGTGACCGAAGAGGGTGCTTGCGTTTGCATTTGCTCTTCATGACAGCCCCGTGCGTGGCTGCACTAGTTGGAATCTGGTAATGCTGTTACAGGCTGTGCCTGAGAATGACGCTGCGCCAGCAGTTGGATCTGACCCCCATGGAGAGCACGGACGTTTTGACCTTCGATTCGCTTCGACAAGGTTCATGATATACAAGGAGTAGAGCATCGCCCTCCTTGCGATGCTCCAGCTTTGCAATTTCGTGAATAGAGGCTAGCACTCCGGGAATAACGTTTGTACAGACCCTTACAGATGCATGCTTTTCGAGCCTTTGTATTCAATGAACTCTCCTGCTGAGTTCGGGATCCTGGTCGTAGATCGTAAAGACGCTGTACGACGTAGCTGTCGTGACCGCACGACTCTGCTCGAGAACAACCTCTCTCTGCTGCTTATAGAGATGCTACCAGCTGTAAAAACAGCAACAGTCTAGTCAACTCTTTTATGGACGGTCATCAGTGTCCTCAAACTTCTAGCATTCCTTCGAGAGCATATCAGCAGAAGCGAAGATTGCGCCAGATCCGGACGATGTCCATAGAGAGCACAATTTCTTACTCTAATTTCGAGGATACCAGTAAGCCGATGCTTCTTCAACAAGCACGTCGACAAACACGACGCCAGAGGCTGCAGGGGGCAGAATATGTAAGGCATCAGCGAACAAGGAGCGGCTGCTATACCTGCAGGCAACGCAGAGTTAAGGTGAGCATGTGCGTAAAGGCTTTACAACTATGAGTTTACAATTGGCGAAAGTGTGACGAGAGTTATCCAATATGCGAGAGTATGAATCGCTAAAAGAGCCTACAACAAGACCGGGCTGACCAAAGTTCTAGGGTGTTGGAAGGGCAAGCGGGAGTGCACATATCCAACGAACGCAGCATCTGCTCCTGAGACAGCGAGTACGACGCACTGGAATTCTCTTACCGACGAGGCAAAATACTATCTCAAATTCCACCAGCAGCATATAACGCATCACTACTATGCTTTCAATCACGACAGAGAGGGCTTTTTGAAAACGGCATTTATGGAGATTGCGATAAACGATCAGAGTGCAGCACTCCTTCACGCCATTTTGGCATTTGCTGCCTATCACCACACAATAGGCCAGAATGATAGTGATATTTCCACGTTCCTCTCCTACTACAACTAGTCGATAGCCTTTCTCCAGCAGTCGCTAAAGAAGGAAGAGCACAGCATTGCGACTTTATTAACAATACTTCAGCTAGCAATAATAGAGTTATGAGGTTCTTCGTCTTCCATAGGCCTATCTAGCTAGCTGATGACCTCGCCAGGAGTTCTTGGGCGACTTGGTCAACTTGCTTGATCACCGCAGGGCAGCGTATGAACTTCTCATAGAGCTCTTTACGCCCCAGACCATTCTGCGTAATAACACTAGTCGCATGATCCTTAACTAGTACCTTCGATTCCAGCTCTTCTCGGGCATGATTCCGAGAGCAGATACGACACTGGACCGCCAATGGCTTGCTGCTTCTGCCGACTTCTACAACCGGCAATTTGAGGATAAACCAGAAGACCGCGGGGCACAGTTTCAATCGTACTTTGCGACATTGCGGCTTCTAGCGACCGATGTGGCGATCCTCTTCGCCGGCAAGGCGGAGAAGGCAATCAGCGATAAGACGTTCGGAGCAGGGATCAAATCGCTATCGAAAGAGCTAGTAGAGTTCGGACATACAATCAAGAACGCATTCATCGATACGTCGCACTTCCTTATAGGGGACTGGGTCACGTTGGATTTCGTCCTTATGGAATACATGGCGATAGAAATTACGTTTAAGTATCAGCTCGGGATTGCATCCCGACAGCCGCTTTCCGCTAAGCTCGCGCGAATTGCGATAAAAATGGCAAGGCTATTCGATGCGATCCAGTACAACCATAAAGGTGTGCAGAATGCAGTCCTAAGCTGTCGCGCGGGTTTGGGCATCATAAGTCTCTTCATACCCAAGCAGGACCGGTACAATTGGTGGTGCAGGAGGAAGTTTGCCTGCATCGAACAGCTCGGGTTAGTACGATTTGTGTCTAACGAGGAGAAGGAAGCTGAACCTTGAGCAGCTACATATATCCCGAAACATTTCGCAAACGCATAAACGATATCTGGTCAGAAGACGCATTACCATAGTGGCTACCAAATGACGAGGGTTATTCAGCGACAATTCGCGCCATTCGCGAATTCGTTCAGTACCGAGCGACAAGACCTGCAGATGCCTGGACGACGAAGTGTCAGTAATGTGAGCGAAATGTCCGAACATGAAACGTCGATAAGCATCAGGTCTTCGATGACATGAGCAGCGCAGAAAGTGGATCTGTGGACAGCGATCTTAATCCTTGGTAGAATCATGGCGAGAGCGCGAATATCCCGTCGATAGGCAGCAACTCGTACATGATCAACCAGATTGAAGACATCCTATGTCTCGTATCTCTGGTTCGCTCCCGGACGTGCTTCTAGGGCCAGACGACCGAAATCGGAAACCTCTATCCTTGGACGTCGACCAAGACGACTGGATGTAGGCTTCGGTAGAATTCTGGCTATTTGACGTAACGGGCAGAGCCGTATCTACGGCAGATGACGTAGACTGTTTGCTATTTGCGGAAGTAAATGTCGTCGTCGTTCTCGAATTGGTGTTGCTTTCTGACTGCCAAATAACCAGTCGATCCCGCTAATCCTTCGTGCATGGTCCGACAAGAATCCGTCAGACCTCGTGCCTTACGCTTCGAAGCAGAGAATCTCACCACAAACAATAGCCAACAAACCCCCTTCTGCAACGTAGAAGACCCTGCCTGGGACTGCCAAGTTATCCCTGTGAATGCTACAATGTGGATCCAGAACAGAGAGTACTATTTTACCACAGCAGACTCCTTTAGCCCTGCGGCAGAAACACACACTTACTCGGGTGAGAACTAAAGCAATGACAGACCTCACTTAGATCTAGCTCACATTGGACTTCCAACACCCTGTTTCAGCGTGTATTGACTGGTGTTCAGCGACCCAACCTGCAACCATCTGTCCACGGTCACGGCAGCATCGTGTGACTTGACGAATGAGCACACGGAAAAGTAGGAATTTGGTGCGACTCGAGGTGGAAAAGAATCTAGACAGCGCGGAAAGCAAATTGAAAGCGTTGAGACCCGAAAGGAACAGTCGAGCGGCGCAGGCCGCATATCTGACGGGGATTTTGACAAGGTTCCGGCATTTGGTTGACATGGCATTGAGCGCCAAGTTTGGCACCGATGGTCTCTTCGAGGAGCATGAGGATATGAAGATCGCTCCCGCAGTCGTGCTGCGCATGGAGGAGTTTGGCACGGACATGATGCATTTCGGTCATCAACACTGATTTCAGGCTAGAGATCAACATCAGCGCGGGAATCTGGGTTTCCAAAAGGATAACAAGGTGACGAACCACAGACATCCGCAGAACATTCCCTCCTCATCTTGCGCCTTTGCACCTCGCCATAAAAGCGCATACGAAGACGCATGACACTCTTGAATTCCGGCCAGACCGGTGGCAATCTACGATGAGTATTCTGATGCAATAGAACAGACAGCTGCTGTCTCTCCTCCGGTGCAAGCAGCCACCGACTACCTCGTTGGTTTCGGTGCGCAGAGAGTTGAGTGGGGTGAAACGTCATTTGATTTGCAACAAGCGCTGTGGCGAACCTGACAGTGCGCTCATCTTCGTAGCGGAGAATCTGCACACAGACGTTCGCAGCGAGTCAGGTCTGCATGTTAGACACAGGACTTTCGCTCCTTCTCCCTTAGATCTCTTTATTTCGTCAAGCGGAGCCCTAATGGTAATAGCCTCAACAGGATTTTCCATAGTGAAACTCAGCAATAGCTCTGTCCGCAGTTTCTCGCAGACTTTCCGCCGGCTCCTACGTTAGCTCCTACTTCACTTTGTAGAGCGTTTTGCCGTCCTTGCGTCGACTGCTTATAATTTTCTCGATAGCCCACGTAGGCCCATCCTTAATATTATAGACCGGACTCGAGCAGGGTTGGTCCTTTACGCCGGAAATAGCCTGCAGGCTTGCGCCTTAGCGAGTATGCTTTCTAATACGTATACGTAGTGTCCGAGAGATAGAGCTCGTAGAGCGATATAGGCAGGCTACGCTATTAGTATAGCGCATACGTAGTAAGACTTTCGAGCGGTTATAGCTACGCTAAGGTTTCTGTTTAGGTCGAGGATGCTAGCTATCTTCGTATAAAGACTAGTCTCGTTAGTAGCGCTTAGAAGGAAGAATAGAAGATCTATTCTTACGTAATCGTCCCGGGTAACGTCTCTATAGCCTAGCTATTCGAGGCTAGTCTATAGCTAGTTATCGGGTAAGCGACCGAGACCGAGGCTTTTATCTACTCTAGGCGATATAGATAGGCCGATACTTTCTTATAATTCTACCGAGTATATATACTCTTCTATATCGGCCGGCTATTCTAGCTAGAGATTAGACTAGAAGTCCTAAAATACGACTATTCTCTAGTAGAGTAAAATAATATTCGAAGTGTAGCGTAATTAGCTCTATTACTAAGAAGAGCTAGTCTCTAGAATATCTCGAGGAATATAGCTAATCGATTAGCGATATCTTTATAGTTTCTATAGTCTTATCTTATTATTACTACTATCGACTTCTATATAGTTCTCTAGAGTATAAGAAGAATATATCGGACTATACTTATAACTACTTAGCTTATCTCTAAGTTAAATAGGCAAGTTAGGTAAATAATTATCTTACTCTTTCTATACTAAGCTCTTAGATTAAATAGAGTAGAATACGTTATCTACTTCTAGTATATCTTATAAGCGATTAGGTCTAACTATAACTTAGTAGATTATTACTAGTATCGAGAGATATTATTAAGCTTATCTAAGTTACTCTCTATACTCTATAATCTATATTATATTATTATCTATACTACTAAATAACTACTACTTATCTCGATTATACTATAATAGAGTAACTATATTCGAAAAGAGATAGAGTAGCGACTTAGCTATTATATACGTTATACTAAATCTAGTATAAATACCTCGGTCTAGATATATATCTATTACGAGTAGATCTAGTACTATAATAAACTCTTAGTCGTAGTCCTTAGCTAGTATATCTCCTCGAGCTTTATCTAGAGTAATAACTTATACTTCTATCGAACCTAGTATATTAATATAAAGTATAGCGTTTATAGATATACTCTCGATACTTATCTAATCTATCTAGAATAGTAGATCGATATTAAGACTACTCTATCTACTAAAGTCGTATAGAGAGCTTAGAAATCTAGTAAATAAGTCTTCTCTATTAATATTAGCTATTATATAGTCTTTAGCTTTATAGTATCTATTAGTAGATACTAAAGTAACGTTTATAGAAGCCTTAAATCTACTAGGTATAATAATAGATATATCGTATACTATTAGTAGAAAAGTTAGCTCCTAGTTATTACCTACCGACTATATAACGCGCCGGAGATCTACTTTTAGCGCCGATACTACTATAATATCTATCTATATCTTTATAAGAACCTAACTATATAAGTAGGCTCTTCTTCTTCTATATATATAGAGTCCTTATAGGAGTTCTTTTACTATCCTTTATAGTAGGTAGTCTAGTATAGGTAATAAAGTTATTATATTAAGTAGTAGTACTCGAGTAGAAAGATATTATTATAGCGTCTATTAGAATAATCTTAACGCGATATAAGAAGAAAAGCTAAGGAGTAAGCGTATATTATATAGAAGATTAGGCCTATAAGTATTTATATTCGACTAAATACTCTAGTTCTAGTAGACTATATATACTCTATTAATTATACTATTATAAGGCCTACTATTAGAATAAAAGTTCGCTATAACTTCTCTTCTAATTACTAATAGTAATCTGCTTATATAATACTTAGGAAAACGATTATACTACCTATTAGAGCCTAAAAAAGAGACCGAAGATAGCGCGAGCCGAGATATATATACTCTAGAGTCTACTTTTCGAGGCAAGTATTATATACCTCTTCTATTATTAGGTACCTTTATCTCTATTCTATATTATCTTAATAAGAAGGCTAGGCTCTAAATAGATATATCGTACTACTATTTCCTCCTATACTATTTAGAGTATACTAATATAGGTAGAGATAAACTCGGTACCTATAGTAATAATATATACTCTACGCGCTATAGTAAGGACCTATTTATATTCTTTTCTCTATAAATATTATTAGCTCGGTTCTAGAGATATACGCTATATTTCGTTTAGCTATATTCTAACTACTTCTCTTAGGCTTAACTATCTATAATATAATAGGTCCTATATAGTATAGAGATAGAGCCTCCGAGGTTATAGTATATAGCTAGTATTATATACTTCTACTATAAAGATCTATAGAGACTATTATTAG